AGGTCTAACATTTTATAATTTACTTGTCTGATCAGTTCTAGTGACTAGTACTAATCCTTCAAATTCTTGGAAATAGCAATTGTTTTTTTTGAATTTGGGATTTGTCCGGGTTTTGCCAGCAAGTATAGTGCCAGGCATGAGCATTTGCAGACACCTAGAATCATTGGAACTGGAAGGCTTATTGGAACTAACTGGACCGAATTAAAAGACATAATCATTCCCAGTGGTTAGTTGTCACCAGACCATTTCAGTAAGTTTTTTTTTATTGTGGATGGAAGATCCAATGGTGAGAAAAAATGCAGAAGTCACCACTAGGGATGGGTTCGATTACAAAAGGTCACGATTATTCATAGCCAATTTGCTAAATATTTAGATGATTTTTCATTTTTGAGCTTTTTAATTAAAGTTGCTCAGAATTAAATTCTGTTCACCCCATCTCATAAGTGGAAAGAACGATATCTTCTCTGGAACTCGGAATTTCTAAATTTATTAACGCTATGACGTTAACAAATTTTCTACTTATAAGATGGGATGAACAGAATTTAATTCTGAACAACTTTAATTAAAAGCTCAAAAATAAAAAATCATCTTAGTATTTAGAAAATTGACTATGAATAATCGTGACCGTTTGTAACCGAACCCATCCCTAGTCACCACACGGACACAATCGACCACGTATCAAGTCAATAATTAGAGGCGTAACGATTTGGCAAGGTAAGGCTTATCAGGCTTGTTACGGGAACGTTTAGAGAACACGAGAGCAAAATGGTTTTAGAGCAAAGGTTACTGATTGTAATTATTATTATTATTATTATAACAGGACGAGAACGAACGTACGGTATAGTATTATCGGGTGATCTGATCGGGTCTTTACGATTATTCTCACTATCCTTTCTTTCTTCATGGGGAAACTTGATAACGATCTCTTCACAATCCGTCCACGATTTCTTCGCGATCTCAAGGTTTCTTATCCAACTCAGGGCTATCATGGGTTTGACTTGATCTTTGCTTTTACTTGCGCGATATTTTAAAACTGCGGTTCACGATCTTACGTGTTATTACTAGGGCTCTGCAAATGCCCATGCCAGGCATATTGGCACTATGCCGGGCACTAGTGCCTTATGCCATGCCCATGCCTATAGCACAAAAGTACCAGGAATTATTATAGGCATGGGCACAAATGCCAGTCATATATATAGGCATAGGCACAAATGCCAGGCATTTTATGGACATGGGCACAAAAAGGTGCCAGGCACAATTTATTAATAAATATTAAATTTTTTGTGCTCATTCCCATGCCCATGCCAAGTTTTTGTACCCGTGCCCATGCTTATGCCAAACTTTTGTGCCTGTGCCCATGCCTATGCCAAATTTTTGTACCAGTGTCCATGCCCATGCCTATGCCTGAATTTTTGAGGCATGGGCACGAGCCCGGATTGCAGACCCCTAGTTATTACGCATAAATCAGAATCTTTTTCTGTTTTGCAAACCGGGCACTGCCTGTGCCCAAAAAAAAAATCTAGGCATAGGCATAAAAATTTAGAAAAACTTAGGCATGGGCATAGGCACAAGTATTAAAATTTTGGCGTAGGCATGGGCACAGGCACAAGTATTAAAATTTTGGCGTAGGCATGGGCACAGGCACAAGTATTAAAATTTTGGCGTAGGCATGGGCACAGGCACAGAAATTTGATATTATTTAATTGTGCCCGGCACCGCTCTGACATCTTGTGCCCATGCCTTTGCTAGTGCCTGGCACTTTGTGCCCATACCTGATATCGTGTCTATAGGCACAGGCATGGCCCCAGATTTAAGTTCTTTAATATCAATGAAGTTAGTTTATTTTAAATATTTAGTTTAATAAATACCGTATTGTCGCGAAATAACGCGCAAGGTTGAAATTACAAATTTCGGCCTAAATTAAGCTTAATTCGGGCCAAACCTCTAAATAAAGCCCATGCCCGTTTTTTCGCGACAATACGGTAGCCTTTATATTCACATGATAAATTAACATGAATAAAATAAAATTAAATAGCAAATGTTCTTATTTTGAATACTTAAGATTAATAATGTTTTTATGTTTACGTATTAAAAAGCTTACTCTAAATATTTAGATTAGTAAGAGCTCTTTAAATAAAATTTTAATTTAGCTTAGTGAACTTTTACTATATGCTCAAATCTAGAATAAAATTAAATAGAAAACATTCATGAATTTATTCATGGACCAAAAAATTTTATTAGGATCTTGATACGGTTGGGTAATTGCAAAATTGAACTGACGACATATCGATGTTTTTAATTTTAGCTTAGCTCTATTTTTTAGCCAATTAAATGGTTTGGAACGGACCTATTGTAACAGCGAAGTAATTGTTAGAAAGTATTACTGACTATTCATGCAATTTTCATTGTTTATAATATACATGTTTCAGTGAAGAAATCGTTCCGGTGGAACTTTTTACTGGAATCACTGGAACACTGGAAAATCTAGAGTTCCAACAACACTGATCTAAACTCATTAACTAAAATTTTTACTCATTGACTGTGGCTTGTAGAACGTGAACGTGATCTTTTACGACGATGACTATGATGACGTGAGGATGAATGTTCTCTTTCTCTACTGGAATGCTCTCTACGATAACTAGGTTCGTATCTATCGTATCCTCTACGTTTTGAACGAGATCTACTCCTTGAACGAGATCTACGCCGTGAACGAGATCTAATCCGACTTCTCGAACGAGAACGTGAACGTGATCTAGAATATGATTCTGAGCGAGCCCGATAGCGTTTATCATTATCAGAAGGTACAACTATAAATGTTTATAAAATATAAGTATAAAGTTTATACATAAATAAACACAAATGTTGCAATGCATCTTAACTATGCATCTTATATAACCAATTTTTTAACAACTATTATATTTCTTAATTCATATGAATGATGCCAAGGGAACCAAATTTTGAGTATCACTCTACCAGAATTACCCTCTAAAGAATTAGGGGTCAAGCATATACATGCCACACAAACTATAAACTCACATATCCCAATCATAGTAAAATTTCCCAAATCCCAACTCCAAATATAATAAAATTGGGATTTGGGACGAATAGTTTTGCGGCAAGTATAATCGAGCATAGAAAGTTAATACTCAGAATTTAGATTTCTTTTTGTCATCATTCATATTTTAATCGATTATTAGATAAGATCCTTTACTAACATTTATCAGAATTTGTATCATCATCATCATCCTCTTCATCTAAAAGATCTTCGAGTGCACTTTCACGTTGTTGTAGTTCACCATTTTCCTCTAAAACATAACGTTTTGTAATTCGTGGCAATATAGTATCACATACTCTGTCTTCACGTAATAATTCATCTATGAATTCGTCCATATGTGTAATTGAGAATTCACCATCTTAAGGAATGAGAATGTTAACATATTATTAAAAGCCTTAAGATATAAAATGAATAATGAATTCGATCTACCTATTGTTCGTTTCCTCAGCTTTCGATAATCATTCAATAATGGTTCAAGATATTGATAAATTTCTAGTGACGTTCCAACAAGTCTTAAGTAAAATGCCCCAAGAGCTCTTAAATATCTGCATAAAACATATCAGAAAATTATCGGAATCGAATAATTTTCATTGGGTACTTATAAATTAATTTGAAGAAAAGCATACTTATACTCTTCGTTCTTAATAAATTCTATAATAATTTCTTTACCCGGTTGTAATTGTAATAATTTCAGAGTTAAACAAAGAAACTCTGTTGGTTTTTGGTTACCATATTGACCTCCAAACGAAGTTAACACAACTGCTCTGTCGATTAGAGTTTCAGCTATTTCCAAGAATTTGAAGGATTAGTACTAGTCACTAGAACTGATCAGACAAGTAAATTATAAAATGTTAGACCT